CTCGCTGTTGTCGCTGTTGTCGTCGTCGTCGTCATCGTCGTCATGGTCGTCGTCGTCGTCGTCGTCGTCGTCGTCGTCGTCGTCATTGTCATTGTCTTTGCGTTCATCATCGTCGTCGTCGTCCCTCCACCTCCCCCTCGCGGTGGAAAGGGGAGGGAGGCATGGGGGAAGGAGGAGAGGGAGGAGCAGGAGGGATGGAGTGAGGAAGGGGGATGAGGAGGTAAGAGAAGGAGTGGGAGCCAGAGTAAACCCAAGACGCATCAACGATGTTGCGATCAACCCTCCCTCCAAGTTCCCTGTTCACAAGTCTGTATAACAGTTTCATTGCGGGCCCCATTCAACATGCAACCGCCAGAGAAACTTCAACAGTGCCCAAACACAGTTCCTGGGACTTCAACCCGCGAAGCAACGTGACGGTTGCGTCTTGGTAGTCCTATGTCGCACCATAACCCCATTACTCGGACTTGGGCACCGCGAGTCAACGTGATTACTACGTCCTCGGACAATCCTAAATTTCGCCAGAACACCATTCCTTGAACTTCAACACTACGAACTCTTGACACGTGTTGTGAACTTCTGTGGCGATTGCGCGCGGCGCTGAAACGAGAACAGTACTTGGACAAGGAAACGCCTACCATCCTTGAAACTGCTGCACAAACTTTTAAGACGAGTGTGCGCGGCGCTGAAGCGAAAACCACATTCGGAATCAGAACCGTCCTCCATCTGTAACGGGTGCATTTTTTTATAATGAATGTGCGCGGCGCGAACGCGAGAACCACATTTTGAAAGAACCGGTACTCAATCCTTGACGATGTTAAATGTTAAGCTTCGAGGTCAGACATGGCGAGTAAATCTCAGGCAAAACGCCCCCGCCCACCCTACAGACACGTCTGGGGGTGCGACGGGGATGAGCTACCTACAAGGATAAGGATGGGGAGGGAAGGAGAAAGATGGGATGAGGAGAATGGCGAGGGTGAGAGGAGGGTGAGGATGACGAGGAGGGGAGGGATGCGGTGGGGTGGGGGGTGGGGGGGTGGAGGTGGTGGGGGTCGGCCTGGATCATGCAAATGCAGCACATGTGCACTAACGATGCTGCACTCCGCCCTCTGGCCTCAAACTCCATCCACACAAATCCTCCTGCACGTATTTTTTAACCACGGGAGGCGCCCTCTTGAAAGACGAGTGCCCCAGGGGGGCGGCCATCCATGCAAGAGCCCCAACTTCATGAGGAGCCACGTCCGTCCATACGTGTGGCCATTGGCCAGTTTGTAGCTCATGACCGTACATTCGGAAACCATCTAACGTGAGAACTCGTTTTTGAAAAACACACCCCCTTGACCCATGTAGCCGTGGCACATTTTTAGTTTCCTGTCATAAAACTGCAATGCTCACTTTGAAAGCCGTCGCCAATAAACCGCAGGGCTGATTTTAGCGGCGCTCGATCAAATACAACATGTTGGGTATTACCAGCACTCCACCCGCTTAGCTGTTGAAAACATTAAGCTTCAACACCATGGCCTAAGAAGTCGTCTTAGGCCAAACGCCTGGCCCGCCCTACCGACGCGCCTGATGATGCGACGATGCCTGGATGCCCGCCCAGGACACCCGATAAGGTTCTATACATCACGAACTCACTTCAAATATCACACAGCCCCTAGTCTCCTCCTCCTCCTCCTCCAGTTTGAGGAAAGAAGGAACGTATGGTAGCAACTTGACACCCCTTCTTGTCTTAGCTCCTCATTTAATCGTCGTTCCACCTTGCTCGTCCCTTGTCTTCCTCCTCCTCCTCCTCCGTCTTCCCTGCTCATCCTGCTCGCCCTCATCATCCTCCCTCCTTCTACTGTTGCGCGCGCGCTCCCGCACCTTCGGGGGTGGAGGAGAAGGCCGAGGAGGAGGAGGAGGAGGAGGAGGAGGAGGAGGAGGAGGAGGAAGTGGAGGATGAGGAGGAGGAGTCGGAGGACGAGGACGAGGACGAGGACGAGGAGGAGGAGGAGGAGGAGGAGGAGGAGGAGGAGGAGGAGGAGGAGGGAGAGGAGGAGGAGGAGGAGGAGGAGGACGAGGAGGAGGAAGATAATGATATTTTTGGAGGAGGAGGGAGAGGGAGAGGGGGAGGGGGAGGAGGAGGAGGAGGAGGAGGAGGAGGAGGAGGAGGAGGAGGAGGAGGAGGAGGAGGAGGAGGAGGAGGAGGAGGAGGAGGAGGAGGAGGAGGAGGAGGAGGAGGAGGATGAGGAGGAGGAAGAGGAGTCGATGCGGGAGGACGCACGTCCAGATCCTCGGGCTGGGTCGGGTGGCACATCGTACCACTTTCGCCCCCGACCAGCCTCCTCCAGGCACACTCGTGCCCACCCCCGCCTCGCTGCCTCGACGACCTCTCGTCCGCGCGGCAGCGGCGGCGAAGGCGCCAGCCGCTTTGCGGCGGTCCTCGGCGATCGCCGCCCCCGACGCCACGACGTTGGCGGGCCGAGACGACGAGCGAACATCATACTCCGAGTATTCGACGAGTCGAATTCGAGGGGGCGGCCCTCAACCCGTGCACCCTCCAGACCCACAGCTCCTTCCTGCGGCGGGGGCGGGAGGGCCCGCCCTGCAGCGGCCGAGGCCGCCGCTTCACGCATGACCACAAGTGGGCCGCGGTACGACGGGAAAGCTCCGCGACGAATTCGTTTCAGATTCCCCCCCCTTTCCGAGTGGGGGGGGCGCGCGCATCTCTGAGCCATCAGCCGTCAGTGGTCGCTGTGAACCCACAGCGCTGGCAGAAAATCAAACCGAAACTTTTCATTCTGGCCAGGCGGTGGCTACGGTGCAAGCACACCGAGCCAACCGAAAAATCACCCGAGATCGCCTCGAAACCCTCCGCAAACTCAGGTCCGAATCCAGTGGCTGCGACGGAAGAGGATCACGGCACGGGGTCGAGGCGACGGCAGGCACCTGGCCCCTCGGGACAATCACGCCGCACCGATCGCAACGCCAGCGGCCCGCGAAAGGACGGAAGACATGGGCACTGGCCGAAACGACCTGCTCGAATTTCGTAGGCTTACGGGCTTTCGGCTGGGGCGGCGGTCGGACTCCTTCCCAAAGCTCAACTTCGAGAGACATCTGAAGCGCCCGCCGAGCCCGCCGTCTTACCAGTGCCGCCGTCGTACCCCGCAAGTCCGTGCGAGGGGGGGGGGGGGATGACACGCCACTCAAAGGCCCACTGGGCCACGACCCCCGCATGCACGTCGGCACTGGCGTTGCCCTGGCTCGCAAAGAATTCGTACAGAGAGGTTACCGACTGCAAATTATCCTCGGACTGGGAGGGGGTCCAAAGCACAGAAACATCCCCAGGGCCGCGGGAACCCAAGGCGAACGCGATGCGGGCCCACAAGTCTCCGTTTTGGCCCCGAGGCCTGGCCGCGCGGTCAGCGTGCCAATCCGAAAGCAAACTCTTGCAGTCCGTAACATAGCATATGCAGCCGAACGAATGTTCCAAGGCGGGACAGAATGCCTGCAGCTCCGCTCTCGGAACGGCCTGCTTCCTACCTAACAGAACCTGCCCTGCCCCGCACTGTGGGGCCCAAAGATGAGGCGACGGAAGGATCCTGGCACATCACCGCCACAACCGAGCCGCACCTTCTCCTACGGGGGTCCGAGCTGAAGTCGCCCCCAGACCCGTCTCCGAAAAGGAAGAGAGGGGCCGAGGGATCGGTGGAGCAGATATCCCAAATCCTACCATCCCCAATGAGGGCCACCTGGGCGCTCCCCTCAGACTCAACAAACCTCGACACCGTGAGGTCCTTCGAGGGGCCCCCTCTGAGCCACAAGGCTGGCTGGGCTCCCCAAGAGGCTGAAGCTTGGGGAACGAGGCTCTCGGTCTTTTCAAAACCTTCATGCCCGCAGTTCGCTGGGCACAGCCAAAGTCTATGCACTAGAGTCTCTGGCGAGGCCTTGCAGCGGGGGCACAACGGCGGGCAAGCACAGCCTGCGGCGATCTGCCTATCCCGCGTCCACTGGCCCCCCGCGGCGACGACGGGGTTGGAGGCCCACTCGGCGTACATCAACTTCTTCACCATCCGATTCAGCTCAATCTGCACTGTGAGCAGGTCCGCTCCGTCCACGAGGTCGCCGCCAGCAACGTGCTTGGAGGCCTGCTTCCACTGGAGCTTCACAAGATCATCCAGGAGGAGGAGGAGGAGCAGGGGGAGGAGGAGGGGGAGGATAAAGAGGAGGAGGAGGAGGAGGAGGAGGAGGAGGAGGAGGAGGAGGAGGAGGAGGAGGAGGAGGAGGAGGAGGAGGCCACGGAGCTCGCGTCTCGAGCAATCTCGGCCGTGCCCCTGCACGGTCTTTGTATAACAAAGCTTGACACTTCCCTGTCCAGCCTTTCCGCGCGGGCGAGCTGGTCAGAGCAGGTGGGTCTGCCACCATGTCCTAACTCGTTGTGGCCCCGAGGCCTGGCCGCGCGGCCAGCGTGCCAATCTGAAAGCAAACTCTTGCAGTCCGTAACATAGCATATGCAGCCGAACGAATGTTTCAAGGCGAGACAGAATGCCTGCAGCTCCGCTTTCGGAACGGCCTGCTTCCTACCTAACAGAACCTGCCCTGCCCCGCACTGTGGGGCCCAAAGATGAGGCGACGAGGGATCCTGGCACATCACCGCCACAGCCGAGCCGCACCTTCTCCTACGGGGGTCCGGGCTGAATTCGCCTCCAGACCCGTCTCCGAAAAGGAAGAGAGGGGCCGAATGATCGGTGGGGCAGAAATCCCAAATCCTATCATCCCCAAGAAGGACCACCTGGGCGCTCTCCTCAGACTCAACAGATCTCGGCACCGTGAGGTCCTTCGAGGGGACCCCTCTGAGCCACAAGGCTGGCTGGGCTTCCCAAGAGGCTAAAGCTTGGGGAACAAAACTCTCGGTCTTTTCAAAACCTTCATGCCCGCAGTTCGCTGGGCACAGCCAAATTCTATGCACTAAAGTAACTGGCGAGGCCTTGCAGCGGGGGCACAACGGCGGGCAGGCATAG